AGCCGCAGCAAACTTTCCAGTGCCGTCTAATCAAAAAGACATACAGCGATTTCTTTGTTTGACTTCATATTTTAGGAAGTTTGTGGATGTATATGCAGTAATAGCCATTGTCAGATTTGCTGAGAAAGGATGTTAAGTTTGAGTTCAAGGAGTTACAGCAGGTAGCATTCGAGCAATTAAAGGCAGCGTTGATTTGCAAACCAATTTTGAAACTGTACAACCCTGCATGAGGATTATTACATCGCCAATCAAATATTGTTTAAAAACCCAGACAGAGAGTTGATTGTAGTTCCATCTCAAATGGAGATTGAAATTATACAGATTACTCATAAACAAGGTCATTTTTCGGCAAAGTAAACACAGGAGATGGTGGAGAAATCCTATTTAATTCCAAAGTTGTGGGATAAAGTAGCTAAAGTTGTAGGCAGCTGTGTGGAGTGAATATTGGTTAACGCAAAATCCGGAAAACAGGAAGGATATCTAAGTCCTATCGAAAAGGGGGACAAACCTTTAGTCACATATCACATAGATCACGTAAGTCCAAAGGAGATCACCAAGAAAAGATATAATCATATCTTTGTAGTGGTCGGTGCATTTCCGAAATACGTTTGGTTGTATCCGACGCGTAGAACTGAAGTCGAGGAGGTGCTAAACTGTTTAGACAGGCAGGCCATAATATTTGGAAATCCCTTCAGGATCGTATCAGATCGGGATGCAGCTTTCACATCGAACTTATTCAAGGAATACTGCGACAAAGAAAAGATCCAGCATTTATTGATCGCTACAGGTGTACCTCGAGGTAACGGGAAGGTTGAGAGAACGCATAAGATCGTGGTGCCAATTTTGTCAAAGATGAGCCTAGAAAATTCAGGAAATTGGTACAAACACGTGCGTAGAGTGCAGCAGCAAATAAACCATATCGAGCATAGGAGCACAAAGGTCGCGCAGTTCAAGTTGCTAACAGGTGTGGACATGCGTGTAGTTGACATTGCAGAACTCCAAGAACAGGTGCAGCAGTCTTTGATAGAAGAGTTGGACGAACAGATACGCAAACAAGCCAGGGAAAACATTCAAGCTTTACAGGAGGAGAACAGAAAAGCTTTCGATTCAAAAAGGAAAGAGGAAAAGCAATACAAAGTCCATGACTTAGTTGAGATTAAGCGTAAAGAACAGAAAAGCTTTCGCTTCAAAAGGAAAGAGGAAAAGCAATACAAAGTCCATGACTTAGTTGAGATTAAGCGTAATCAGTATGGGGTGGGTTTAAAGTTGAAAGGAAAGTATCTTGGTCCCTATAAGGCAGTCAAAGTTCACAAGCATGGCAGGTATGATGTGGAGAAAGTGAGAGATAGCGAAGGACCTTTGAAGACATCCACAGTATCTGAGTTTATGAAGGAGTTCGGGACGAACACCACGTAGGAATCAGAAACAAAACAAAAGAGCAAGAAGAGAGAAACACACGGAGTGGACGTCGGTTCTGACAACACTGACAGAGATCACTAATGTATGCGTGATGGTAACAGATCAGGAACGAAAAACTCTAATAAAGTGACTCGATGCCGAAATCTCAAGCTAAGCAGTCCACCACACTCCACTTTGTAAACTCATTTAAGTTTAAAATAACACACAACACTCAGTTTGTTAATTAAGTCAAATATAATAATAATAAAACTACATCGTCCTGGAAGTAATTCGCATTAACGGAATTCTTGGGGCCACAGGTATGGGCCAAGGAACAGCATCTGTCGAAAGCAGTGGAAGGGTTCGAAGCAAAACTCGCGCCGAGGTACGATGGGAATTCAAAATGATCAGTTTTATATCACCGGGGATATGTAAGCTTAGGGACAACAAAACACACACTGACTATGCCGCACACACAAGCGAAGTGAAACCCCAACAGTCAGATGAACCCGACAAAGGAGGACATGGAACAATTGAGGAGGAGGACATGGAACAATTGAAGTTACGTCTTTCGAGATTTACATCTCTTCAAAAACGTAGCAGTAATGATCTTCCGTGACCAGCGACGAGAGTTCACTGACGTGGAGCTTTCCGACGAGAAGCGAAATACGAGGAGGCCAAGCTGTAGAGCACAACCGCTCAGCAGCTATGGCAGTCGCCGGTGCAGCTGCCGCTACCGCCGCCATAAGCTCCGTTCCGTCCAACCTCTCCGGTTTTTATTTTTATGTTTTATTCAGTATTTTAGGCACACAGAAAAAAAATGATTAGATATGATACTTATTCTAATGAAATTCTGAACGATTTTGACATATCAATTTTACACAAAAACAGTATCAATATATTAAACATTTTTTTATATTAAAATGTTGAATCGACCGTGTTGTAAATTTCCTAATTTAATATCAACACTTTAATATTGCATATATGATATTAAAAAAAACAAATTGATATTATTGTGTATCAAATATTTATTAAAAATAAATATAGAAACAGAAGCGAGACTGTTTTTTTAATAATTATGTTAACACGTACACGTACGTATGTACATTTCTTTTAGAAATAACTTAAAATATTTATGATGTTTTCATTTATTTATAAATGCAAAATATTTCTTTTGAAAATTAATTTTCCAAAATATTGTGGTTGAATCGTACATATGTATGTATATGCGGTTTCTGCTGATACTTAAGGCATCTGGCTTAAATTCTGGAAAGAAAATATAAAGTAAAATGGAATTAGGTCCTGTTTTCTCGTCTTGATGATTAACTAAAAGTCGATTTTAAACTTGAAACCTTAAATATTTATAGTGTGTGATTGAATATGCCGGCCGGCAAAAATAATGCATAAGTGACCTTATATTTCAAAAAAGTGTATCCCATGGGATAGACACACATGCCAGTCACATTTTTTCCGGCCAGCATAGACACTCACACACACAACACAAAATAATTATGAAATTTTAAATGCTACAACAATAACTTTTTTAACTAGTTATTTACAATCCACCTATCACTTATTTATAAATTTTAAAAATCACTACTCACCTTTTTGTAAAACGCACTACCGATGTCTTCTCACATTAAAGTCAAATCACCGAAAAACAAGCAATGCGAAAGCCATGCAAACGACGCAACACGTGTACAACTCGGGAGTTCAAAGTTCGTAACTGTCCTTCTCCCTCTAACGTATTTTATTTTTTGTCGCCATCTTGCAGGATTCTCTCTTTTTCGACTTTTTTAAACTTGCGAAGATAAAGAAATTGAAAATGACCATTTTCCAACATCAAATTTACATTTTTCAATGGTTAAAATAAAAATCTCTTGTATTATCAAATTGAACAGTCGCTATCAATTTGAACTTTACGATTATTTTTTGTGTGTAGTACCTATACTTCAGTAATTTTAAATTTCATCCAATTTTATTTTTAAACTCCACTTCTGACAAACCAGTTTCGGTCATAGATACATAGCATCTTTCCCATAATGATAGGTTTTCTAAAGTAGATGCTAGAGCTAGACAAATTTGGAAAAAAAAATTTTAAAACTGAAGTTCCGACAACATAAATTAATTCTAAACGAATACACACGCCTGAAAACCGAAAATAATTGTATCAATTTATCTTGAAGATAGAACACTCACAAATCTTACAATCTATTAACTTCAACCATCCGCCAACAATCACTTCTTACAACAACAAACAATTACAAAAAAGCTGGCAATAGCAGGAGAATTTAAATTTTAATTGTAATTCTACAAATTGCTGTTGCCTTCCCAGACGATGTTAAATTTCATATAGAGATCAAACTAAAAAGTTTTTGAGACATATACACTCTGGCGCACGTGTTTGCAAAAGTGGTCTATCGGTCAATAAAAAATTAATGTAAGTGCTATAGCCAGGTTCCATTGCCGCATTAGTGGACTGTTTAAATGTGCCTTATTCCATTGGCGCATTAGCATTTAGCTAATGCTACTCCAGCTGATCTGGGTTTGTTTACTTTTGAATTTTGGCAAATTCAAAAGAAATTAATTAAAAATTATGAATATGACTCTTCAATGCTCAGCAGGACATGCATAATGCGACCGAGGCAACTTGGACGACAAGGAAGAGAAGCTAAGAGAAGCTTTCTAAAAAATGCAAGGATCCCCGTTTATGTGGGAGTTATTTTATTCTAGAGATCCAGCAGTAATGCATTGTGGTACTGCGAGTAGAAATTGCAGCGTGCGCTCTGGGTTTCAGTCATTTTTATACAAAAAAGATTTTATATTCAAAAGACATCAAAAAATGCGCCAACCTTGCATATGGAAAACAGCTGATATAGTGGTGGCACAAAAAAAATATCGTTAAACATCGGTATTTTCCTTTTTTTTCTAAAAACGTTCGGGACGAATAGTTTTTAATTCATTTAATTATCGCATTTATTTGAAATGCGGAATTTAAAGAGTTTTGGCAGAAAAGTTGTTGCGACCCACTGTTGCAAATGCAGTTAATCGGAAAACCGAATAAAGAAGAAGAAGGAGAAGAAACTTGAAATTTAATATTCCGCCATTAAGTTTTTTAATTGCGGTATTATTCTCAATCTTGTTAAAATTCCAAAATTGCCAATTAAAAATCACATAAATTCTTTAAAATTAATTATTTCTGTTGGTATTTCATGACATACAGCACACTTATTAAAAGAGAAGTAGGGGTTTGAAGTTTAACGCTCCTCCAGGCAACAATTATGTATAAGGAGTGTAAGCCATTATATAAACGTTAAGATAACCTTTCAGCCATTATTCCACGGGATTTAATAAAATAAATTCAAGGTAAGGAGTTTGCTACAGTTAAAAGACCGCCTTCGAACAATGTTGTCCTCTGACTGTTAATTTTTTGGATGGTGGCTTTGTGGGAACACGAGTTTTGCATTTTTCAAAAATCCCAACCGTTCCGCTCGGATAGGCCCTGCGTTATTGGGCAACTGGTGTGAAAAGTCCATAAGATTACATAAAAACATCGATATTTATATACAAATGGACAAATGTAACGATGTACGTAAGTATTATATATAGCGATAATAACAGTGTATATATATAGGGATATATTCTGCACCAATCAAACACTTAAATTATTTAAGTTTTCCGCATCAAATAAAGGTCATGTCTAGGTTCAGTGGAGCACTACAGCTCACCGATATAGACGATTTTATTACGCCTTCACAGGTACATTACACCACAATACTAGCGTATGTTAATATAATAAAATTTGATTGATTGTTAGGAATGCATTAAGCCCGTGCCTATAGATAGGACAAAGTCTAAAACTGGTGCGCAAATCACAGTGGAAGGAGAAAGCTGCTATGAGGAATCCGAGGTGGGTGGTTAATAGCTATTAGCTCATGTATTATAATTGTATGTCGAAAATATTTTTGCAGAGTGGAAAGCAAAAGCTTCAGAAAGTGGAAATCACTCTTCAAGACTGCCTAGCTTGTTCGGGATGCATCACATCTGCCGAAGGAGTACTAATCACACAGCAGAGCCAAGAAGAGCTACTCAAGGTCCTGCGTGAGAACGCTAAGAAAAAGACTACTGGGGATTACGAAAACGTGCGTACCATCGTGTTCACCGTGGCTATCCAGCCTCTCCTGAGCTTAGCCCATCGCTATCAGATCAGTGCGGAGGATGCTGCGCGTCATCTAGCAGGGTACTTTCGCAGTTTAGGAGCTGACTATGTTCTATGCACCAAAGTGGCTGACGACTTGGCGCTGCTCGAGTGCCGTCAAGAATTTTTGGAACGGTACCGTAACAATGCAAACTTAACAATGCTCAGCTCGTCTTGTCCGGGATGGGTGTGTTACGCGGAGAAAACGCACGGAAATTTCATTCTGCCTTACCTTTCCACTACCCGATCGCCGCAGCAAATAATGGGGGTGCTAGTAAAGCAATTTCTGGCTAAAAAGCTGAATATTCCTGGGTCACGAATCTACCATGTGACCGTGATGCCCTGCTACGACAAGAAACTTGAGGCCTCCCGGGAGGACTTCTTAAACGAACAGAACAAGTCACGGGACGTGGACTGTGTAATTACATCAGGTAGGTGAGGCAATCATGACATTCGAGTTGTGATCTGTATATATACCTTTTGCAGTCGAAGTGGAACAAATGCTGACCGAGGATGAGCGTACACTGTCGCAACACGATCTTGATAATATGGACTGGCCCTGGTCTGATGTAAGACCCGACTCCATGGTGTGGGCCCACGAGTCGACTTTGTCTGGCGGTTATGCAGAGCACATATTCAAGTTCGTTGCTCATCAGCTTTTTAACGAAACCCTGTCCAAAGAGCTAGAATTCAAACAGTTAAGGAATCGCGACTTTCGGGAGATTATTCTTGAAAAGGATGGCAAGGTCGTCTTAAAGTTTGCTATTGCCAACGGCTTCCGAAATATTCAGAATCTAGTGCAAAAACTAAAACGAGGAAAAGGGGCGAACTACCATTTTGTGGAGGTCATGGCTTGTCCCTCAGGCTGCATAAATGGTGGTGCACAGGTACGCCCCATCACGGGACAACACGTCCGCGAGCTAACACTACAACTCGAGGAGCTATACAAGAAGCTTCCGCGCTCCCAACCCGAAAACGTCGTAACGAAACACATTTATAGAGACTTTCTAGACAGTTTTCACACGGAAAAATGTTATGAGCTACTTCACACTAGTTACCATGCTGTGGAGAAGCTCAGTACGGCATTAAATATTAAGTGGTGAATGTTAGGTGCTTGACTTTCTCTGTAAGAATGATTTTTATGACTGAATTTGATAGTCCTTGTAATAGCAAATAAAGTGAGTGCGCATGACCAACCCATTGGCGAGCACAGGCGAGTGAAAAAGCACCTACAACGGATTGTTTCACTGGAATGCGGCAAGTTGCTATCGCCAGGTATTGTAGCAAGAGAACTTGGGCGGTAGCGAATGGTAAAAACGTGTTACTTGTGGCTGAGGATCTGTGCTGCGAAAGAAAAATCAACGGCCTGGAGCAAACACCTTAGCAAGACTATCGTTTACGTTCTAAACTATAAACTGCTGACAAAATCAATATTGCACTTTCCGTTCCAGACCAACCGTATCCTGGCAGTAGTCTTTGCGTGACCAGGCAAAAAAAAAAGAAAATAAAATAATTATCCAAATGCAATAAGAATGACATGATGTCGTCCTCGCTTTTGCATCCTTATGGGCTGAAAACGGACGAGATAGGCAGCAAACCTAACGAAGTGGCGGCGACAATACACAACTCTGGGCGTTGTTCCCTACCACCACAGGAGGTGGACTCGTTGGAGTACTTCATAAAGTTCCCGAAGCCCTCGTCTGAACACGACTTTGTACTGGCTAACGCTTATGACAGCGAGGACATCAACGTGCCCATCGTAATGCTATTGGGATGGGCGGGCTGCCAGGATCGATACCTAATGAAATACTCGAAAATCTATGAGGATAAGGGGTAAGTTTAATGTAAGCGTTGGTACACCAATTTAGTTACGTTTTGTTGTTTTCAGCCTTATAACTGTCAGATACACGGCCCCACTAGATACCCTGTTTTGGAAGCGATCTGAAATGGTTTCAATCGGCGAGAAAATCCTCAAACTGATTCAGGATATGAATTTTGATGCCCACCCTCTAATATTTCACATATTCTCGAATGGCGGAGCCTACCTTTACCAACATATTAATCAAGCTGTGATCAAGTACAAGTCCCCGCTGCAAGTGCGCGGAGTGATTTTCGACTCGGCCCCTGGGGAGCGGAGAATGCTCGGTTTGTATCGCGCCATCACAGCTATTTATGGACGGAAAAAACGCTGCAACTGCTTAACGGCACTGGCCATAACCATTACCCTTACAATTATGTGGTTTGTAGAGGTTGGCGAAGCTATGTAATAACACAAACTTACATTGTTACTTATACTGCTCTTTATTGTTTCAGGAATCTGTTTCCGCCTTCAAAAGTATTTTTGTGCAGTCGACTTCGGTCCACCCCAGCCCGTTTGTCGAACTAAAGAAGGAGAACAATAAGTTCCCACAGCTGTTCTTATACTCCAAAAGTGACATTGTCATCCCATACCGAGATATTGAGAAGTTTATCCGACTCCGACGCGAGCAGGGCATTGAGGTATCGTCGGTATGCTTCGAAAATGCCGAGCACGTGAAGATCTACACCAAGTATCCTAAACAGTACATCCAGACTGTGTGTAACTTTATAAAAAAATGTATGGCAATACCTGCTCTGAAAGTGGCCGGCAATTATGAGCCAAGTTCGAACTCAGAAAAAGTATATCGATCAAACCAAAAGTACGAATAGAAGGTCAACCCACGAGTTGAAAAGCATAACAAAATCACCTACGGAAAAAACATGCAAAATATATATTTTAAACGAATATAATTATTGAAAATTTAAAGCGCTTGAATGTAGAAACGAATTTGAAACTTATTGAAATAAATACATATTACACATTAAATATTCAGTCTTTTTTGGAGTTTTCAAATCTAATTAAGCCTTTAAATTGTAACTTGAAATAAAAATGTGAAAAATTAAAAATAAACAAACTTTTGACAAATTATCAGAGAATATCAAAATTTTGTCAAAAATCCAGATATATAAAGCAAAATAGCTAGTGTTTCAATATCTACGGCAAGCTTAGAGGTTCCATAAATAATAACTGGGACTGTTGAACTTGGTACCTAACTACCCTTTTGGTATAGAATACATTTTAAAGTATTTTTGATGATACCCTTGTGCTTGTCATCGGTTCAAAAATGGTTTAAGTATTTCAAAAAGGACATTTTCTCAGTTCCACGGAACGAAAATAGAAATTCGCAAACTAAATTTATAACAAAATTCAGCCAGATTAGAGTAAGTTTAAATAGCGAGGAATAATACACGACACGATGACAGCAGAACATGTGTGCGCTGTCTCCAAAACAATATACTATGTATGTACATTAGGGTAATTATATTGGTATAAAAAAATCTAAGGTCATAGTCTCACCCCCTTATACATATGTACGTTGCGCTTTGGTGAATTTAGGGCATACAAAAAAAAAGGTAGAAAAAAATCGGTTTATTCTTAAAGTATATCACTCATACGTACTGTTGCTTTAGATCAAACATTTTATTTTTATATATGTAGGTGGCGTAGACTTGGTGTTATCTAACGAAATAATAACCTTATCACTTTTACAAACGGCTAAAGAAATATAAAATCCGTATGGCTATAATCCAGGTTACAAGACTTAACCCCCGTGATAGGATCAAAAAATCAAATTTCTTTTATTTCCTGTCCATCTACATATTTTAGCAGATCAAGCGGTTTTTACATATTTCTAATTATACAACATGGGGTGACCCAATTAAGTGTGTATAGTGATCAAAAGAAAGATTTGCTGAGGTTTCATTAAAATTTGATAAGGGCGTATTTTAATTTTCGTAGTCTACGCAAATTCAGGACAACTACATACATACATATGTACGTGGACTATTATTCATCAAAATCTTCTATATCTCTGTTATTTTCAAGCTGAAATTCAAACTGAGGCTTTAATACCTAAATAAACGAAGACAAACAAGGCATTTTTATATCCGATTAAAAATAAAATTGATAAATTCAAGAATTCTTCAAATCCGCTTCGTTTTTGAAGTTGCTGATTTCTTTTTTTTATCATCTTTCAGCATCTTGGAATGTGAATACCATATTTTTTTAGATTCAGTCCAGATTTCTTGAAATTTTTAAAGTTTTTGCTTGTACGATTTATATTTTTTTTAATACTAAAATATTTTTTATGTAACCGTAAAACTTGCTCCTTAATGTGATGCAATGGCCGTACGCGAATTTCTTAGCTTTTTCATACGGTAACCAGCATCTTGGCAACAATTTAAGCACATTCAGACACGGTTCGCTATAGAAGTTTCCTATAAAGCAAATCGGACAGGACGGTCCGTTGTTTCTTCAAAAACGGAATTCAGCTTTCCAACCAAAAAAATTGTCTTCTCCATTTTGTTACTTTTTGTGAACAACAACAAAAAATTGACAATACAATACTGGCTTAAATATGACTAATTAATATGGAAACTTTGAGACCATTGCGCAAGGTCTTAGACTTAATTTAAAATTGTTTGGATATTATTTAAATTTATTTTGCACCAATATCTACTGTTTAAAAGAGTGAACAAAAGGCTCGAACAGCAACTTAAGGGGTATTCTGGTCAAGAAACTTACATTTCAGGCATTTTTAAAAGTAAGATAAAAAAGAAATGAAAACCATTTGTAATATACAGTTTTTTATTTGGTTGCTATTGACATTTTAAGAATACTAAACCAAAAAAACAAAAAAAAAAAACTCAATATTCGCCGAGTTACAGGACTGTGATTTCAACCCTTGTAAAGATCGGAAAAAAATCAAACAAATTCTTCATTAGTAAAGATGTTGTTATCGAGTTGACTACTAAAAAAAATAATTAAAAATAACAAAACGGAGTCGAAAAAATGTTTTTTAACCAACTTGATCGACCTTTTTGAATATTTCAAAAATACTTATAATCAAAATTTGTTCAAGATTCGAGAAAAAGTTTAAGATTTATTTACATTACGTATAATGTCTCAGATGCCTCGTAAATAAATCGGCTTTGCCTCCTACAACAATTCGAATTTTGAAAAATCGTTTGAGGATCATATTTTTTAAAGTCTAAGCATTCAAAATATGCATACCAAAAAAATCGATTTTTTCAAATATCTAGTCCCCCTAATTCCCCCTTAAAGAGTTGTAGCGACACATTAACCCGCTGATGCAAATACAGCTGATCGGCCTACTACAAGAAAACAAATCTAAAAAGAAGAGAACACAAAATTAATTTTTCCCGCCAAAAAATGGAACGTTATTGCTCTGCTTATGATTTTTCCACTGATGAGGGCCTATGGTGACCACCCGATTAATTAATTTCTGCTGGTTTTCCCTATAAAATGAGTGCTGTTCCGTGCTAATTCTAAATGTCCCAGCTTTTTGCCCCGCAGGTGTGTGGTCCTGCGTGAGTCGGGCTGTCCCAGCTAGCTCGATTTTCCAGGGCCGTGGTTCCCCTAACCCTGCCCTCTCACACAACAACAGAAAACGTTGGACTCTCATGTCCTACGTTTCGCAACACTCTATGCTGCACCGTCAATTTTGAATTTAAATGTCAATTAACAAACAGACAAAAAAAATACAAAAATATTAGTCTTTTTTAACCTACACACATTTGGCAATTCTTTGGGTTCCTCCTGCTGAATTGGAGGTCACCTGCTCATCCCTCCCGACCATGCAGACTGCCTTCAGCAACATACTTGCAGCTGCTTTGTTGCTTTGCTTACATTTAATTATTCCTTTTTCTTTTTTTATTGCACCATTATGTACCCCTTTTACCAATTTGACAATATTTGAATATAAATAATATGGGTATGAGACGTTATTATACGTTTATGTGTAGATGTAAGCATATTGCATGTAGAGAGTATGTATTCAAATGTAAATAAGAAAAATATTTGAAGAAGATGTAGATATTATTGCCTATGTGCACATTAAAAAAAAATAACCAAAAAAACATGTAAATAAATAAATAATCACACGAATTTACAACAAACACTACACGATAAAATAATTAATTATTCTAAAAATCGAATAACAATAATAAAAAATCTGAATGAAACCGACTGGCTCCCGTTGCCGCCTCTTGGTAAGCGTGCCGGTCTTTCTTTTCCGGGCCTCACAAAAAAGAAAATCGCCAGGCCAACTTGGGTGACCTGGCTGATTTTTTTAAACTGGTAACTGGGTCTGATCGGCTCTGGAATGAAAAGCCCATAAGCATGGCCTCACTCTCGAACACCGATCACTTACCAAGTTTTTTCGCCGCTTCAGGCTTCCCAGTCCTGCTTTCCTTTGCTTCAAGTTGTTGTTGCCTGTGGACACTGGCGCGCTGGTGCAGCTCAAAAAAAAATTATGTCGCACCAAGGTACCGTAATTATGTAATCCGCACGTGCACCACAAAAAGAAACTTTACTTTGGCGAGGGGAGCGCAGCAGCCTTAACGCCTTGACCGTGACTTTCGTTATGGGCTCTCCTCTTCTCCTATCGCCTTCCCGAACTCCGGCTCTCGTGTTTCAAATTTGCCGGGTCAACGGTCGTTTAACATTTGGGGTGACCATCCAAAAAACGTAGTATTTTTCAGTATAAAATCCCCCCCTGCGCCGACATTTGATATGGCTATCGATAGCCCGGCCACAACACCACAGTTAAACAACCAATTCCATAATCAAAACTATTTTAGAAACCAAGCTAGGCAAAATAGAAACTAAAGATATGACAACAACAGGTTTCAACAGAATGATGATAACAAAGACTAACCGTTTTTACAATAAGATATTATAACAAGTTTTAAAGTAAGAGTCAGGGAAATACAAAAATGTAGAACCGATGGATACCAACGAACACTTCTAAATAGGAGCGTCTGACTCATCCCGCAATTAGGTAATCATCAAATAATAAACTTATTTTTTGCCTCGTATATTGGTGTACTTTTAGTTTAATAAGGCCAGAAATATAAAAGACCAAATTTTAGCATACAATAATCCCCAAGGCCCAAGCCACAGAGCCCATCCAAGCGAAACTGTTTTTCCCATAGAGCCACCATCTACCGTCCATCAAAATTCACAGTAATGTATGCAAAATTGTTTGAGAGGGTTCTTTCTTTCTTTCTTTCACTCTATCAAACTCTTTTAGAAGTACTTGTTCTTGTTTTTCTTATATTTCAATTCTATGGATTTGTTGTTAAATGGTTATCTGAACTTTTAAATAATGGCTTATATCTACTCTTTATTAAAATTGCTGCCTGGGGGTATTAACCTCCTAAGCTCTCCTTCTCTTCCGACTACGCATTTGGTTCACAGAAACAAAAAAGGCCGCCAAGTCGATTTATAACATAATTATCTCGTATAAATGGATTCTTAATAAACGGCTATAATCAAAAACCTAAAATACAAGAGTTATAATAATAATCTAAACTATACTTACAAAAGAAAAGAAATACTCGACTGTTCGTCACATTTTTAAATTCACAACATCTTCCAGCAATCCTTAGTGCTTGAAGAAAAGATCCTCTTTGGACAACTTGCTAAATCCTGGGTTTCATCAGTGATAATTTATCCATGCCGCGCGTGGCGCTTGCTGGTGAGGTAATGAAGCGGCAGTCAGATGACTGCCTCAACGCCTTCCATAAGGTTGGGGTGATCCTATATCATGGTGGCCGCGCGCGGCGTTCTGTGCGTAGCGGTGTCAGCGCATTGTATAGCTTTGTAGACGGTTTTTATTTTCGGCCACACATATGTCCGATATTATGTTGATAATCGCTATGCAGCACGTGGCGTACTGCGGTCAGGAGTCGTATCCGTTCGGCGAGCTAGTTGTAGAAGTTTTCAGGCCATACATATTTGCT